AATGTGCTCTCACATAAACAGCACCTGTAAGTGGAGGTGTTCAAGGTAATACACATATTAGTTTCTCAGTTTCTCACACATGACAGTGTTGATAAAAAATATATACAGTACAGTATATATATATTTAATGGAAATATCGCCTCTAGACCCTGCTATATCTCCATACATTTTATAGAAATAACACGCCCCCTCACTATGAGACACTAGAGATAGAATAGCAGCTTGTGAGAGCATATTTGTTAATTGTTTTTTTTTCTAAAGTCATACGGCGCCATGGCAGGAGTGCTGGTGTGTATCATTGGTGCACACATAGTCTTGCACAGTTTTTCCAATATGGTTTTACTGCAAATGCAAATGCAAATAAAATCTTGAATCTTAATATAAAATCTCAATAATCACCTCATAGATGTGTAAATACATTCGGCAAATCATAACAAAACTCTAAAAGGGGAAAGGATGCCCGGAAACTCTTTATTCTCTAATATATTATTACAATATTACAGCAGATATAAGCGGGCAAAAGAATAAAAAGCTCATATCCATTAGTACAAAGAAAATATACACACATTACAAATTGATCACAAAATATTGCATAGCCTTTCTGTTCCCTCATTTTCACCCTATGTTTCATCCTAAAGTCAATCTTATATTTCCTGTAATCATATTTGTACTCTTGATGTATGTTTTTGTGATGGTGTGTTCGTGTTGTTTTGAAAGAGTATGGTGTCAGAAGTCAGGGCACCCTAACCACAAGGCTCACAGCTGGAGGCTTGTTTATCTGCTCCGCTTCAAAGACCTATCATATTTTCACTTCTTCAATGTTAAGTTTGCCTTAGGTGTGTGGATAAGAAAAGAGTTTTTGGTTATTGCTATGGGACACAGGGGCACCACTGCTCACCAGCACTGTGCCTGCTAAATGTTGACATGGTTTAAAATGGAGGGGAACAGCATACAAGGAGAAGAGCGGCCTGAAGAGATCAATGAGGATGGATTATTCTGCAGTGATCATGTCTGAGCGCACAGCTGTGTGACTCCATGTGCATTCATGATCAACTGGACCCGTGTCATGGCATTTACATTTACATGAAAGTCTTTGCTGCAACAAACTAGAAAATCCCCCATAGAGCAAAGATTTCTGCCAAGAGGTTCAAATCCTGAATTAATCTTATAATTTCTTCCTTGTCCTATTTTTATGTTTCCTGAACATTTCAAATCCCAAAAATGTAAATCCCCAACATCTTTTTGATGTTATCTTCATAACTAATTAAAAAAAACTGACAAACAAACCTGGGTGACAACAACTCCTGACGGAGGTGAAAAAACAAACAAACATCATGTAACATAAGTATAAAGCCCTTTTTCATTGATGCGCCAACATCAAGTTGCCGAACATCTGCACTAAACTTGAGTTCAGGCTTATAGCTTTTTCATGGCTCATTGTGTTATATCTGAAGAATTGGGAATGGTTCAATTCAATTAAATTTATTCTTGTATAGCCCTAAATCCCAGTAGTTATCTCAGGGGATCAACACAGATCAGAGAATCAAACAGTTCAAACACAAGAAATTAAACAGAAAACACATTGGTATTGGCCCATAAGGGGTCCATGAGTGTTGATAAATGTCCATAAATGTTGAATATTGAGTGTCTTGGATCATCACCACTGTCCAGTATCCACCACTGTTTGTTAGACCTCACAAGACAAACAGACCCTCCTGCTTCGGCAAGGAAAAACTCTAAACCCACTGGGAAAAATGAAAAACCTCAGGGAGAACCACATTGAGAGAGGGATCTGCTCCCACGGACGGACGGACTATAGATCCATGACTCAAGCTCCAGCACGAGGACCAAGGCCACACGGTTCAGGACTGCACCGTGAAACCACTCTGTGATTCAAATTCCCTTTGAACCTTTGTTCTAATGTTTTTATTTGACAAACAATCAAAAAAGAAAGGTAGATAAAAGTGGTGATGCTTAGCTGCCACATTTGCCTTCATCCTCATACTGTCCGCAGACTCCTCGGCAGTGTCTGATTGTAGCCTGTTTAAGTGATTCTTTATCTGCAGAGTGCTGCAGTGTGAGAGCAGTGGGACTGGGCCCCAGGGTCTGTGTGAGTAAAACACTACTATTGACGGCTCCAGCAGCAGAAGATTAAGATCTCCAGAGGAGCGCTTCAGTCAGTGGTATCTTGTTTTTTAAACTCTAAAATATATGTATATTTTTTGTTTTTTTAAATAAAACCAAATTATTTTGCTACTCATGAACATTGATTCAGCACTACACCATGCAAAGGTCCTAAAGCAGATTCAGTTTATTTGCCCTGTGCAGGAAAACCCCCTTGAGAATTTCATTTTAAAGGTGCATCCCACAACTTTTGGTGGAGGATTGACAGCAGCAGCAGCTACTACACGTACAGTATATATACTGTATCTGTTTGGTAACACAGCAGACATTGTTTGGCTCACTTGCAGAGGACAGTGATCTCTGCTGACAGTGGTGCAGCTTGCTCAGGTTGATCTGGTTCAGTTGCTGAGTGTGACTACAACCTTGAGCGCGTCAGAGGACTCGGCGGTGGTGACATGTGACATTTGGCGTTGGGTTTGTGGCAGATGGAGGTGGCCTGCTGTCAGATGTATGAGGATTCATGAGGCTTGTGATGATGCTTTCCTGAGAGCACAAACATATATTGGCTATATTTATTTGTATATTACATACATTCCCCCTTCTGTGGGTGCTTTGCTTCTGTACCATAGGCCAGGGGAGATGGTGCAGTGCCCCGTGTCAGCGTACATTGTGTGTGTGTCTGTGCCTGCAACAGAGGACCCCTGTTCTCTGCCACGCACTCTTGTCCATGCTACTGCTCAGTTTCTGCAATTAGTTAGTTGGGTCTATACTTAATTGCTATTCATGTTTCTCCAACAACTATTACCAACAACTAATAATCATAAATATAACGCATTGTTTTTTTTTTTTTTGGACACTCAAAGACGCTCTTCCCATGATGCACTCACTCCAGACAGTGTAGCCTCTGTCAGCTGTAAGTTATCAGCTGTAATCACGATTCAAAACCGCTACTTTACAATCTCAAGTTATGGAACCATAAACATGGGCCTAACAAAAGGTACTGTAACTACACTGTAAAAAAGACAAAGTTAGTTCAACTCAAAATTTCAAAGCAACCAGCTGTGAAGGATTTTTAAGTTGAAGGCATTCACTTAATTCTTCACGTTTTGAAGAACTACAATTATTAAGTTGTGTCAGCTAAGTTTTCCAAGTTCTGCCAACTAAGTTTTTAAATTCTGTAAAAACTTACTTTTTTAAGTTTAGATTACAGTCCGCAGCAATAACTGAGTTTAAATTAGCCCCCACATTAAATCATCATGATGTTTATTTATATAGCACATTTTACAGACCAAGGTCACTTGGGTAGGGGAAACCGGAGCACCCGGAGGAAACCTATGCAGACACAGAGAACATGCAAATTCCACTCAGAAAGGCCCTATTTAGACCGGGATTCGAACCCAGGACCTTCGTGTCAAGAAGTGAGAGTGCTAACTACTCAGCCACCGTGCGGCACACACTGTGAACCCGATTAGTGGAAAACTAATGTTTCTAAGAGACTGACCCAGGGAATATATAGGGCTACTTTGGCTTGGCCCTGTCCATTACGGTTGGTAAAAATAAATACAATGATTTATTTGGTCAAATTAGTTTTTTCAAAATGTTGAATGCAGCCGGTTGACAAATATTTAAATGAGCAAACGCAGATAAGTTGACCTCACTCTAACTCGGTGAACTGTAGAAACGACAACTCAAATCACCTTACTCAGATTTTTGCATTCACTGACAATAAGATTGCCAGTTGGAACTGGAACTTTCTGTTGTAAGCCACTTGAACTCACTTTCAGAAGTTGATTAAGTTGATTTTACTTTGAAGTTGTAGTTAACATGTCAACTACAACTTCAAAGTAAAATCAACTTAATTTATCAAATAAGATGAACTTTTCATCAGAAACTTCTGAAAGTGAGTTCAAGTGGCTCACAACAGACCGTTCTAGTTCCAACTGGCAATTTTATTGTCAGTGAATGCAAAAATCTTAAAGTATGGTGAACAATTTTGAGTTGTCGTTTATACAGTGTACAGTTCTATGAGTCCTGAATGATTGGCAGAGGCATCGAGCAGATGATCATGCATCCGGCAGTCAGAGCGAGTGAAACTGTTGCTCCATGCACACAAATGCACTTTCCAGAGGATAGGGGAAGAAGCACGATACTCATTTTGGCAATGACTAGAATCCAGTCAATCAAAGGTAGCACTTACCCCTCCATCCTATGAACACACACACACACACATACACACACACACAAGGGGACCGTTTTACGCGTTAATGGAAATCGATATTAACGCCGTCATTTTTTTTTTTATCGCCCAACTAATTTGAGTGACCTACTTTACCTGGCCACTTTTAGTAGCGTAACTACAGAGACCAGAAACAGGAACCCCCCGCTAGTGTTTGGTTTGTGTTTTGGGGTCTTTTCTGCTAGTTCGCTGCAAAATGCCAAAATGGATGTTAACAAACTCCTGATGGGAAAGTTTAGTTTCTAGAAACAAGACTAAAAGTTATCTGTAGCACATCCACTTTGATGGATTATGTTATATTGTTAAATTGGGAAGAAGAAGAACATTTTTGTGACTCTTACAAAGTATGCTTGTTTATACTTTGATGACTGCGGTTTAGTCTGTTTCTTTCTTAATATGTTACTTACACAATACCCCTCCTGTTGCACCAAGCCATATGTTTTTTTTAAGAAAAGAAAGTTACTGGTTCCTCAGCCCATTTTTGTCTGACGTCTTGAGCGACTGCTGACCGGTCACTCTCTAAAGGCTCAGTCAGCTTCTGCCCATTGTCAGACGCACAAAGATCAAAGTCCGTGCTCCGTGCTGCTCCACACTTCATCTTTCATCTGTCAACACTCAGTTTCATTCTCTGTTTTTTTAGGTCGTCGCCTGGAGCCGACAGAAGAGCTGCACTGCTATCCTACCGATACCAGTGAGTATGCTGCGGCGCCTCACACTGTAGAGCTTACGGATGTATTTATAGCAGCAAAGATTTTATACTGAGAGTAACAGAGAAAAGAACAGTAACAGAGATTACAGGAGAAAAAATATGGGGAAGTAATATCATTCTATCCTATTATGTCTTCACTGGAAACATGTCGGAAGAAACATCACCTTGCACACTTGCTCACTAGTCATGTATGTTAAAATAGTAGCCACACATTTCAAGAGTATAGATTGTGTCAAAAATGTTATTGCTTCTAAATGTTACTGTTGCATTTATATCTTTAGCAAATTGAACGATTGAAATAATTTGCTCAAGAAGGGGTAAAACTGTATTTTAAGACAGATCATGTCATCTTCCCCTTTAATAATCAATTTCTGGGTCAGGGGGGGTGTTTACTACAACTGCCACTCAAGCCCCGGTGATCCAAGATGGCGCCCTTTTCAAATGAATGGTTTGTGCTCAGTAGCGCATGGGGACCGGGAGATTAGCAGAATTTGCCTATATTTGGGCATCATCTGGTCCTCCCGGTTCTGCGCAGTGGACGAGTTCCCATGATGCGTTACGCCAAATACGTGTGTGCGGCTCTCATGCACGTGCACAGAAGGGCACGGCAGCGCTCTAACCAATCAGAGCTGCTGATCAGAGCAGCGGTAGAGCGGAGCCAGTGTGGATTTAAAGAAAACCAAAGGATTTAAGAAGAAAAAAAGTTCAGGATGACAAGGGATACTAAAATCCCCACAAAATCCGACCTTTATGAAGGCTGTAGGTTTTCTGTCAGCAGAGGTCGAGCTGTTTTAGTACCGTTAGCCCTAGCAGGATCATTAGACCTGCACCCAACCCCAGCAGTTTTAGCAGACAATAGATGTGTTAATGAGTTCGCCTCAGGATCAGGGGGTCTCTAACCACTCCCACAGGTTAAAATCTCCAACTCGCGGCTGAGCTTTCATTTCCTTGATAAATTATTTGGATGGAGAACGAAGCGTCGCTAATGAACGAAACCCTGCTAACTGAAGTACAGATGATGGGTGTGCAACCTGCCTTTGTTCTGACAAATACCTGTACGACTGAGAGCGTACACAAACTTACTTGGTAAAGGGCAATTTGTAAGATGTTTGAAATGTCACTTCCTGTATCTGTTATATTTCTCAGATCACACCCTAAACAAACAAGACTGTATTAGGAGATGAGACTGAAGTAAAAGTGCTGGGGAGTGTGAGTTAGCAGATTGTGAGCTGTGGGAGGAGAGAGAAATAGAAAAGTGCATGATGGGAGCAGCAGACTGACGGCATACTGTACTGAGGACTCAAAAACAACACAGAGCAATGCAGAGGGGTGTGAGCCTTTTAACTCTGGCACCACACATCATTTATTAATCCCATACTCTAATATTAATCAACTGTGCTACAATAGTGCAGTGCAAGAACAGGATAAGTGAAAAGAAGATGAATGGCATTTGTGTGTTGGGTTTGATTTTCAACACTTGTATTATTTATTGCCACCTTCTAACTTGACAAAAGACAATCTTGCTTTTTATTTAGGTAGTATTTCTTCATCTTAGCTTAAACAACTTATTTCCTTCTAAACTGAAGAGTCATATCAAACCACTGGACCAACGAAGACTGAACTAAAGAAGGATTCCATTTCAAACTAGATTTTGACTTGATACCCGGTTCAGTACAAAATTACTAGTACAATGTTTTTATAAGAAATAGAAACAAGATATTTGTAACAGCTTTATAAAGAAACGGTATAAACATGTAAACTCTAGTGCAAATACTTACACGAATAAAATATATGCAATTTTTTCATATATATTTTTACATACAAAATATAAACATACATACAATTAATACATACAAGTAAATACATGCTTGTATTCATACAAGTATATACATCTTTGCACTAGAGTATACATTCTTACTTTTTGATAAATCTATAATAAACTCAAGTGTTAGAATATTGATCATTCTCAGTGATGATGAAACTACTGTACAATACACACAACTACTGGCTGATATTAACCTAAGTCACAGTTTTTACTTTTACACACACAAATAGGTTCTGTGAAGGATAAACAACAGTTTATATCACTATTTTGTCCATTTTGTAGCAGTTTCTCATGAATTGATGGGAAATTTGTATTTGTAATCAGTTGTATTAAAGTCATGATCTTGTTCCAGCTCAAAAAGGAAAAGATTAGTGCTGTCAATTTAACACGTTTTAACTGCGTACATTTTTTTATTGGGTGATTAACCCAAGCACAAAGTGCGGCGGCTGCTCCTGTCCCGGTTGAGTCTATGGAGAAGTGTAGAGGTCATACAGGCCAGAGGACTGGTATACAGCAGCAGCACAAACATTTGCCCTGTGTATTTTGACTGAAAGCCACGTCACTGCGCGGCAAAAGGATGCGTGGGTTGAAGTCAATAATTCCCTTTGACTGACGTGTTCAAAGTCGATGCAAGAGTAAGACAAGAGATCTTCAAGTTTAACATCTGTATTTAATTTATCTTTACAATCAAATAACAGAAATTCAACAAGCTCCTATACTATCCATGTCCCTCTCTGGCCCTGGTCTGCTTCTCCAGTTCCCGCCTCCAGCCAGAGCATAAAAAGAACAGGAAGGAGGGGCGTGTCCTATCAGGCAGCTTCCGGTTCAGGGTCCGCCTTCCACCATCTGCTCTTCTCGTCCCTGGGGGCTGCGGAAAAGGGGATTCACACATTCCAACCTATAGCTTCTTCCTTATAAGGAAGAAGCCCTTCTCCAAACAACTCTTATCTGGCTGGGGGAGGTCTGGTCCCTCTCTGAATTCCACGAGATCCAGGCTTAATATTGCACAAAGACATGGTATGCAAACACCTACTGAAAATCATTAGTATACAACATTTTAATTCTACAACAATCCCTCTCTTGACCTATATTAAACAATTAGGTCACAATCTTTCAATAACCCTTCTGGGTGACGGGACTGGGGAGCTCTTCCATCATCGCCTTGGTTCTTGGTTCTGGCTCGTTATCTGTGAAGAATTAATACAGGGAAAACAAACAACACACAACCACATTCGAAACATTCCTTCACAAAACCACTGCTGTGTCATTCTGATTCTTCATCATTAATCAAATTGGTATTATCCTTACAGGAGCTAATCTATTTCAGCAGGTTTCTCTGGGGTCAGTCCCTTTACAACGGTATTTGATTCTCTAATCTATTGCTGACAAATCGACAGCTCTTAAAATTCTCAAAAGATACCTAAATATCTACTTTTGTGCTATACCCAAATACATTAAAATGCTTTTAAATGTTTTTGAATCTCTGTTGTTTCTAATCTATCTCATTAATCTATCTCATTAACTTTTGGCATTGTTAACATTCACCTATGTTTGAAACAAGCGAATTTGACAGTATCTAATAAAACTGTGCATAAACTGTAATGAACTTTATCTACCTTGGAAGTAAATACTTTTGGACATAATATGAAGGAAATGGTCCTTTTACCGTTTGCTATTAGCACTGGCTAAAAATGATCTCCATTTTTTGAAAGCATCCATCTATTTCTACTCTATCGTGACTCCAAAGTTCAGTTGTAGCTTGAGCCAAAGCATATTCCCAATTTGTGAGTTCTGATTGTAACAATTGCATTGGCAATAGACGATTTTTCATTGGCTGGTTCTTGTTCTGCAAATCACTATTTTATGTGTTGTATTTCAGACAATTCCAAAAACAACACAGTCGTTCTCCAATATTAAAGACATAAATCTAAATCAATTTGCCTGAAAGGGAGCGGGAGGAAGAGAACTATTTTAAAAATGTCCTCTACGATTATATGGCTATGAAATTAGTTATTTAATAAACAAAAGCACATTCATGGCTTCTGTCCGCTGCTTATAGCTGTTTAAAGAGTTGTCCCAACCTTAATATGTGTAAATACATCAGCTGTTTGTAATAAACAATAACATTTAACCTGTTCTCCAATGGAGCAGCTCAGAGGCTGCATCAAGAGCAATGTTATATTTGAGCTATTTTTAGATTTAAAATTTTGTTAAAGCCTGTTGTTCTATGTCTGCATTTTAATACTACTCTCTATAAACACCTCTGCACTAGTTCCTACAGATGTGGAAAACAGAAAACATCTAAAATCTGACTCCATTTGATTCCTTTTTACTCTAATTATTAGAACAATTTGACCTTATTGATACTTATTTTCACAATAGAACTATTTTGATTATTCACTCCTGTGGACTCACCACCTGCAGGAGGATCAGTTAGGGGCTGGTGCTCTGTGTACTGGGTGCAGCTCTGACTGCCACCCCCCCGACCCAGAAATGGATTAAGGGGAAGAAAATGGATGGATGGATGGTTATTCACTAGTCTAACTATTATTACTATTGTTTATTCTGACACCTCTTCTTAGCGACCCTTCAACCTATAGCTCCTTGAATCCAATGATATTATAGCTCCAGACTATTTCCTTCTATTCTATTATTATTATTATATGATCTATTATCTTAAAGAGTAGATCTGCTTGATGTTATAAGCGCTATTATTTCTCCTTTTGAATTTGCACAGCACTAAATTTTAGAATGACCCCCTATGGGACAAATAAAGAATTTTATTTTATTTTGGCAACTCCGAAAATTACTTAATAATTCTCCCATTTTGCTTTTTAGGCTGCCCTTTCCATTATTTATTTGTTCTTGTAAATATATGTTTTACACTTCTTTCTAATGATTTAGAATGTTAAGGACCATGACCACCTATGACAATAACATTACTATACTCCCTCTCTTGGTCATGGGCCAAGTATAAAACATGCATCTGTGTGTGTGTGTAGATTTACTGTTCCGTTCATCTCCAGTTGCTTTCTCCCGGATCGTCCTCAATTCATATTGTGGGCTTTGGTGCCAAAGTAGAGGCTCATTTCCTTATGATCCATACTACTGTCATCCCTGAAGCAGGTGCAGTTTATCTTTCATCTGAAAAAGAAAC